TTTTTTTTTTTTTTTTTTTGAGGCAAGAGACAGAGGAGGAGTAGACTGATATGTACTGTGATGTCTGATCATTATACTTTGATCATTTTTAGGAAAATGATTTTTCTATGAAAAAAATAAGAATAGCTATGCAGAGGGCTCAAGAGGACAGCCTATCCAAAACTGATCATTCAATAAATGGTATGATAAACTACATGAATAATATTCACATAAATACTATAAATGCTATTCATTAGTTTCCAAGTTTCAAAATCAGGAGTCAAAACATGAAAAAACAGTTACAGGAAAGAACAGAACTTAAAGCATTTTTCCTTTTGATGCTGTAGAACTAGCAGTGCAGCTGAGTGAAGCTGGGTGGAAAGGGGCAGAGGAGGAGAGAAGTGCAGGAACCTCAGTGGCCTTGTTCCATCCTGGGAGGCCTCCAGCTATTGTTTAAAATTAATGAAGCAACAAATGTAGCTCAAAGTGTAATACTGAGAATTATTAAGATAACACAAGAAGAAATATGGTAACAAAATTGAGAAATGTATGAAAAGTTAATTTCCTAATCTTTCAAAGCAGCAACTTTAGTCAGGAGGGAAAAGACAGGAATTAAGAAACAGATGTGTAAGTACGCTGCTTACAGGAGGGAAGCAAACACTCAAGAGAACTAAAGGCGAGGGTGAAGGGGTAATGAGCAGCAAGACTGAGGGTGAGAAGTGGGAAGGAGAACTTCAGTTTTCATTTTATATACCTTTTTTTATTCTTCTGAGTTTTTACTTCCAAGTACTATGATTATTATTTTGATTAAAAATGCCATCCAAAATCCTGTGTTTGTGATTTTAGAAAGTAAATGCAGGCAGAACACATAAGAAACATTTAAAAAGTTGTTTGACTTAATATTAAATATAGTATATTAATTTTCAAAGATATATAGTAGAGAATGGTACCACTTTTCCTATCTATTAGCTAATATTTAATCATATGAATCCAAATATACTTTTCTTTTGTAATCATAAAATTGGTTCTTTTATTTATTCCTGAGGCCTTGTTACCTGACCAAGGTTCTATTTTAAACCTGTAACATCATATAAAATAAGGCATGTGCTTATAATACTTAAGCTCCTACTGAATTATAAGATAGACACCTTTAGAAGATGAATTAATTATGATACAAAAAAGTTATTAAAAATTGTAATCAAATCATAACTGTTTTCTCTTAAATAAACTTTAAAAAATTCCTTCACATATTTAGGAAGCTTTCAGCCCCTGTAATTACTGAGCATCATGCAGCTCTCATCCTCTCCAATTCCCTTCTTTCTGAGGGGCTGATGAAAACACAGACAATACAGCAAGCTAAGGAGTGAAGAAAGAAAAGCAAGGTTAGGAATCATTCCTGCCCACTAACACTTCCTTACTCAGCAGGACAACAGAAACTCTGTTGTCTGAAATAGTTAAGAGAACAGCTGTATGATGTTTGAAAGATGATAAATATAAATCAAAACTTGTGTTTAAATTAAAAATAAAAGCTGCTACATAGGATCACCTGGTATTCCAGGAATTATGATTTTTTTAAAAAAATTGTACTATAATTTCTTCAGCCTTTCCATTCGTGCCTACATCTATTTCTTCTTTGGGTCACTAAAATAAGAGAGAAGACAAAAGAAAATTCAACAAAGATATGTGGGATGTATTCTAATAATGTGAAGGTGAAAGAAATCAAAAGGAAAAGGAAAACACAACTCTTAAAACTACAGGATTTATTTTACAAAATCTAGATTTATAAGAGCACGTAAGGTACTACCCACTGCAAACAACAGAGGAAATACTTTCCATTCCCTTCCATATCCTACTCATTCTGGAAATAAACACCAGACACAATGTCAGCATACCATTTTAGAGCAAAATATGTCAATAATTCTTGCCTTTCAATTTTAGGATTTTAAAAAGTTATGAAGAATTGTATTTTTCACGATGAAGATAATACACGTGTTGCCTTCTAATAGGATCAAAAAAGTCCCTTCGAAACAATAATTTGTTTTACTTATTCCAGTTTTCATCCCAAACTAAACAAGCTTCAGTATTTCTGCTTGTCTTTTTGGACAAGCACACACAAAAGGGATTTAGGCAATGAGTAAACGCAAAGTCATCTCCACTCGCACACACTGAAGGGAAGTGAATGCTCACATTTTTCATTCTAAGCCTTAGGACACTTGAGGAGTAAGGTACTTAGCCTATGCAGTCTGGTTTCAATACCACGAGTTACAAATAATACAAATGACTACTATCAAGTGTGAATTCCTCTGTACAGTACTATCGATGGACAATGGACTTTAAAATCAAACAGAAATGAGTTCAAATTATGGTTCTCCTGTTTACTGGATGTACAACTTAGAGACAAGTTATTTAAATCCTTTGAGCACCAAAGACTAAAGGAGGTCAAACATAGGGTGTCAGAAGAAGAGCAGACTCTGGGTGGTGGGCACGCAGAGCAATATACAGATGATGTATCATAGAACTGTAGACTTGAAACCTGTATGATCTTATTAACCAATGTCACTCCGATGAATTTAATTTAAAAAGAAAAAAATAATACTATGTACTAGAACAGGCACCAGTGCTTTGGCATATGCTAGGGAGTTTAAAATGTTAAATCACAGCCCAGCCGGAGTGGCCCAGTGGTTGAGAGTCGACCTAGGATCCAGGAGATTGCTGTTCGATTCCCAGTCAGGGCACATGCCCGGGCTGCGGGCTCGATCCCCAGTAGGGGGCGTGCAGGAGGCAGCCGATCAATGAGCCGATCTCTCATCATTGATGTTTCTATCTCTCTCCCTTTCCCTTCCTCTTTCTGAAATCAATAATGATATATTTAAAAAATAAAAAAATTTTAAAAATTCCATGGAGAGAGAATAAAAAACAAAACATATAATTTAACTCCTCAATAGAGTGTGTTTTACATAAAACTCTTTTAAATTCTAAGAATTCCAATGAATCAGATTTATTTCTGTTTCTGCAAAGTTACAGACTCACCATGAAACTTTGAGGCTTCAGGATCATTCACATTGATAGCAATTAATTTCCAATCTGTTTCCCCTTGATCGATAAGAGCCAAAATTCCAAGGATCTTTACACAAATAACCTCTCCACGAGAAATAACCTTTAAAGAAAAAAGAAATTCAGCATTTGCAAAGCTTTGGAGACGTTTACTCATATCTCATAAAAATCCATGCTGAAAAGCACTGTAGACTGAAATTTAATAAAGGTTTAATAACTTAAAATAATGTAAAACCAGGCATACAAGCCTTCTATAACATGTCTTTTAAAATTAAGTATCTTGATCCCTTTTTAGAAATTGAAGTTATTTATAGATCTTGAAACTTAATGTACTCGGCCTAGAAACACACTAAACAGAAAATAAATCCATGTGCATCATTACCTCACGCAACCCTGGCTTCTGCTGCTTGGGATTAAAAAGAGACCTGAGAATCCTTTTAAACTGCTTCATAGTATAGTTTTTGCAAAACACATTTTTCAGTTACTAGTGAAAAGTAAATTTTTAACATATTAGAATATAACCTTAAGAAGATAATAAATGACGATGAAAGAATTATCAATATTTTAAAGATACAGACAAAAGTCTTCGTAAGATGTTTTTGAGATTTAAAGAGAAACCAAGAAATAGCATTATGGTCAAGCAGATGTTTCATGTGCTAAAAAAAATTATTTCAGTGGTTCCTCCAAGTTGTCTGTGCCGAGTTTATATGCATCATTCTTCCTACAGCCTTTTATTTTTAAAGGTTTAGTCAGCTACAGAATTTCACTGCAAGCTGAAATTTGAACACATGCTTCAGAATAAATTCCTTCATGATTCAAAATGAATCAAACATTTGGAAAGCAAGGTAAGCAAAACAAAGTCACGTTTGTGTCCTGGGATTATTTGAGAGAAAAATACCAGATTTTAAACCACAAAGTCAAATAAATCCTTTTAGAACATTTGCAAAATAAATCTAAACTAATGTAAGTCTATATGAAGTTGTAATTAGTTTACACAACAGATTGGTGAGATTGCATGAACTAAACTGAAATTTCATTTTTAGGGGAACATACACAAATATATTAACCAGATTCTTAGATGTTTAGACTCTATTAAGTATCCAGCACCATATCAGACACATTGCATATAAAAAGAAAGGATCTCTGTTCTCAAAGGTGACAATTTTGCTGGGAAACCTACACACCTCATGCCAGGAGATCCTTCACAAAACAAAACTGTTCCAAGTTATCATATCACATAATTACCAATGAAAGACTGGCTAAATTGTTTAAGGCAGTGATAAACTAGATCACTGGTTCTCAACCACAGGCAATTTTGCCCTCTAGAGGACATCTGGTAATATCTGGAGATACTTTTGGTTGTCAGACTGGGAGGTATTGCTAGCACCTAGTGGGAAGAGGCCAGGGATGCTGCAGGACAGTCCCCTGTAAAAGGACTATCCATCCAAATGTCAACAGTGCCAAAGCTGAGGAGCCCTACAGTAGATTTTAGTGGCAGGAATGTCTATCAGAATTCCCGGGAATCACAGATAGTTTTAAAAAGCACATTCTAACTTGTTTAATTTTTATTCACAACAAGTCATTTGCTTGAAATTTCAGACATCATAAGAGCAAGAGAAGCTCTGAGACTTTCATGGTTACCAGGGCAAGCAGGAAGTAGTCCAGGATTATCAAACTTCATCAGAATGATACATGCTCTTTGATCTCATAAGCAACAGAACGGGATTAGATAAACCACTGCCTTCTTATACTGACTTTACAAACTGGAAAGGGAACTCTCTTAGTCAAACCAAAAATTCTAGATAAGAAGCTTGGGAACAAATAGTAAAACTCTTTTGAACTCCCCAGACTTCAATTCATTCTAAATCAAGTCAACAAATTTACGGGGAACATACAATGTTAGACACCAAATGAATGATACATAAGCAGTCAAGGAATTTAACCTTAGAAATGTCTCTGTTTGTGGTTTTAAGTCTACTATTAACTTCCAGGACTGCTCCTCTCCCTCTGCCCATTTCCAATGGGGTGTTAAAGATGCTCTCTACCACCACACTCCTTACAGATGATTTAAGGACTCTTGCACAATCAAGGACAGAAGAAGCACAATCCCAACAAAAACCTTTTCTTTATGCAGCAATCAAGTACTTACTTAATAATTACTAAATGCTATTTCAGGTCTCTAACTAAAGGAATAAGTTGATCTGGCTATAAGATGAAGCCTCTCTTCCTTGTTCCATTACAAAACTTTCAGTCTACCCTTACAAGAAAATTAATGTACACAGCAGATTCTGTTACTAAATCTTTGGGAATCATATATCTCATCATGTTTGAAAATGGGCTGAGATTCTGAAACAAGAACACAGGTATGCCTGAAAGGTTTTAGGAAGAAATAAGAGCAGGGTCATTATTGACTTTTTCTAGCTATTATGGAAATATTTCAAAAGATAGGATTTTTAAGTCACAAATATGTGAGGTTGAATTCTTCTTCCACCATTCCCTAAGGTGACCTTGGGCAAATTACTTCACTCATTATTTGGGGACTTGGTTTCTCAATAGTAAAATGGAGATCATATCACTTATTCCTTGAAGTAAAGAGCAAAGGAAACAGCAGACACATGAACTAGAACATAAGAGGTCTTCTATAGATGTTAGCGTTTTTCCTCTCTGGGCTCTCCATGTACTTAGCTCGTACTTGTCAACTACTAAGTGGCCTACGACAAAAGTTCTATGCTGATTCAGAATTTGAAGAACGTGGTAAAACTTCAACTGGACCCAATGACTACAAGAAAACCATGGAAAGCAAAGCTGTTTGAGGCCTGTTATCCTGTGTATTAGGTTCCTGTTGTAACGTAACAATAGAAAGGCTTAATATAGTGTACATTTATTATCTCACAGTTTCCATGGGTCAGGAGTTCAGGCACAACATGGCTAGATTCTCTGCTTATGGCCTAATAAGGCCAAAAATCAAGGGGTTGGGCAGGCTGGGCTCTGATCTAAAGGTTCAAAGGAAGAATCCACTTAAACTCAGTTCTTTGCAGGTGTTGGACTGAGGTCCCTGTTAACTTGCTAGATGTCAAGCAGGGACTGCTCTCTGCAACCAGAAGCCAACTGCATTCCTTTCCATAGGCCCCCTTCCTCCACTTTCCAACAGCAATGGTGCATCACTATTTCTCATACTTGGGACCTCTGACTTCCTCTTCTAGCACTGGCCAGAGAAAGCTCTGTACTTTTAAGGGCTCATGTAATTACATTGGACCTGCATGGGACATCCAGGATAATCTTCCTACTTTACAGTAAATTGTGCTATATAAAATAATATAGTCAAGGGAACTATATAGTCAAAACTCTGGAAATCAAGGGAGATGTCTTTGCAGAGCCATTTTAGGGACTCTGCCTCCCATATCCAGTTATCCCTAAAGAAGTTAAAAAGTCAGGGCTATATTCAGGAAAACTTTTAACTGTATCAACTCCAAACAGAAAATGAACTGGAAAAAATGCAAAACAAAATCCAAATGTTTATGTATTTATCCAAGGAGAAAGAAAACAGAGATAAACACAATATGATTTACTGGGATAGCAGGATTATGAGGGAAGGCTGATGCTTGATTTTGTTTTCATTAATATAACTAAAATTTTCTTGGAAAAATAAATATTATTGAAGAAAAAATAAACCTAAACATAGAAAGAATTTGGATCAAACATAAAAACAAAACCAGGTAAAAAGAAGAAATATGAAAAAAAAAAATAGTGATTATTGGGTTTAAATAGTAATCAGAAGTGCAAAATTAATAAGTTCTAAAATAAACTATCAGTATTACTGACAACTATATTATCTAAAAATTCATTTTTTATTTTATATTACTTATTTCATCATTCTAGGGTGTCCTCTTTTCTCTTGGTCCATAGGATTTTCTCCTATACTTTACATTATATGATTGACGTTAAACCAGAAGTATATTCATTTGACCATTTATAATCAATGTTACATTTCCACAAAAAATAACAATGAGTTAATATGTTTTTTCAGCAATGATGTATATAAAATAATATATACATCGTTATAAAATAATAATATACTGAAACCTACTATATACCACCTACTATATACCAAGCTTTCTATGTAAAATGTAAAAGTATGCCTTCAAGATTAACTATGTATACCTTATTAAAAATCACTTTCATTTGAAACTTTTAATTTTATTCTACGTATTTAGCGACTTTGACAGGTTTATTAAAAAGCTTCTATATCAACTTTTCTTAGAGTAATTCCTATGTTTTGTCAATAACAAATAAGTGTTACTAAATCAAATCAATTAATTGGTACATTTTCATGAGTTCCTCCAGTTACTAATGTCATTAATTACTTATCACCTACAAATTTTTACATAAAATTTAAAAACTTTAAGTGAAAATAAGATATTTCTATTGCATCTTTTCACTCACACTTAATATCTGCATAAGAATGTAAATTTACATAATAATTTGCCCTTAATATGAACTGAATGGCCCCAGGGGTTATACCCTAAGAAGAGTTTTCTAATATATAAACCTTTCCGTCAATGTAATGTTCTTTAATTTAGTGACTATTACTTATTGTGAAATAGGATATGTGGAAGTGACTAAAGTACGTAACACAGGGTCTGAAACACAGGAGGTACTCAATAAAACACTTAAATTCTTCCTTTCTTCTAATCTGTTCCTTTGAGACAGACTTTACCACCCCTCTGGGGAGAAAACATCTGAAAAGATAAGTTCCTAAACTACAGCTTACATTTGAAAGAAAGCTAACAATCTGCTATATCTCTGCTGGAGAGATATAGGAAATACAGAGTCTCACACGCAAACTCCAGCCCCTTTGTTTGTCCCTGAATCTGTGTAAAACCAGAAACACAAGTTAAGGATAAAACGAAATCGACTTAAAGGCTATTTACAATACAGAATCAATATTTCATGACTCATGGGATGAAGAAAAGCAAAGAATGACCAAGGATGGCTCCGCAGTTTGGGGGACTGAAAATACTGGGGGATGTCAATAGGACAGGAGGAAAGGGTGAGCTCTGTTTTGGACACAGTGAGTTTGAGATGTGTGGGAGACATGCAAGGGCAGAAGTAGGCAGCTGAGTACACAGGTCTGAGCTGGAGGTATCATTCTGACAGCAAAACTAGGGGTGCTTGGGACAGGGTCATCAAGGCAGTTCCTAAATGAGGGGAAGGAGTTGGATGAGGGCACAACTCTCAAGCTAACCAATCCTTATGCAGAAGAAAAGGAGCTTGCAAAAGCAACCAAGAAGAACCAGAATTAGAGAATGCCCAAGATATTATAACACAATCCAAGTAAAGTGAAGAGGCTGTCTTGGGAAGAAAGACAAGGTTAACAGTATAAAATGATAAAGCAAATTCAAGTTAGAGATTCAAGTGGACGAAAAAGGGGCTACATGCTAACCTGACCAGCTCGGGGGGACTGCGTAGCGAGCCCTACAAACTCAGAGACCTAAAGGAACCGCACGGGATGGTCTGAAATGAAAACTTCCTAAGTAAAAGCAAGTCTTGGGGGTAGTCTTGTCCGAGGCTGGTATCTTCCTTGACAAAGTGTCAAATCATTACCAGAACTGAGCCAGTCTACTGTCCTTTTGCATCTACCATAACAAACCTTTGGAATGTCCGAGTAATTTCCTTTCACCACGCCCCTCAGGGCACAATCACTGAACCCCGAGCAGAGACCACAGAACCCCTCGTTATTGTTATCCTGTTAATGGCTGACTGTTAACTACCCTGCACCCACCAATGTAAAAGAAGTATGTGTCAAAACCCCTTTGCGTTTTATGCAATCCCAGAGATTTCCACCACCCCACTTTCTCCCTCCTCCCTAATGTATCACCCGTGGATTTCATGTAACCCCCCCCTGCATCTTCCCCTACAATCCTGATATATAAAACAGGTGCAAAACTGCCATTCTCTGCAGCATTTGCTCAGTCCGTTGAGATTCTGCTTCCCGGCAATTGTCATCAGTTTGGCTCAAATAAACTCATAAAAATTCTTACAGGTTTGGATGGTTCTTACATCAACAGAAAAAACCTATGAAACAGGCCTGTTGGATTTGTCTAAAAAAAAAAGTAACCACGGACCCTAGTGAGAGCAGTTTCATTGAAATAATGGCAGGATGAAAACAGTTTTGAAACAGGTTGAAGATGAAGTGGGAAACTGTTTACAAGCTTTCATGTGAAGGGAAAGGAGACAGGAGACATATGGAAAGAAAACAACAAAGAAATAGAAGTTGTAACTACCTGATGAAATAAAGACAGAGAAATACTGTCCATCAGAAGCAGAAAGGGACAGGATCTACAGCATGGGTGGAAGCACTGGTCTTGGACAAAAAAAGACAACCCTCTCAGTCATAGAAGGAAGGGGGAGAAACAATGTTTGCAGGCACAGGTAGTTTGTAAGTCTAAGGGGGAAAGGTGAGGGAGCTCTCATCTGCTGGTTTCTCTGACTCCACAAAATTAAAGACAAGACATTGTGCTGGGAGTGAGAACAAAGTGCAAGGAGTTGAATGTCTATAGAAAATAACAAATATTAGGAATAAATGCAGTAAAAATTGAAAAATGAATTGACCGGAGACTCAGAATTCTATGGGTAGCAGCAGCCTATGAAACTGTAAGTTTTGCTTTCCCTAGTAGGACTTGACAACCTGGAAGCAGGCACAGAAAGAAAAGAGTACCCTCGGCTTTCGTCAGTTTTGAATTTCCTGTCTGGACAATGGAAGCTGAAGATGGGACTCAGCTGAATTTTTCTATAAAAGCTCAGGAAGTAAATACTTCAGACTTTGCAGGCTGTGTGGTCTCTGCTACCACTCAGACAATATGTAAATGAATGGGTGTAGCTGTGTTATTTATGAAAACAGGTGGAGAGCTAGCTTTGACCCGCCATTGGGCTATAGTTTACCAGTCCCTAGCGTAAGAGAAGGACGTCAATATACAAAAAGGGAGGAGGGCGGGTGGGTGGCTGGGGAGAGAGTAACCAAATAATTTATATGCATATATGCACAACCCGAGGACTCGGACAATGGTGGGGATGGGGACTGGGGAGGGGGATGGGACGGGGTAGAACGGGTCATTGGGGAGAAAAAGGGACATCTGTAATATTTTAAACAAAAATAAAATTTAAAAAAAATTTTAAAAAAAAGGGACTGATACCAGAGGGACCGATAGGCTAGAACTTTGAAGAGCTGAAGAACCAGTGCCTTCTAAAGAGAACTGAAATTAAAATTTCAAGAATACACTAGAACACATTCGAACAACACAGGTTATAAAACAAACCTTTGAGCCTATTTCACAAACATCAATAGGATCATCATCTCCACAGCAGTTTGTGCTATTATCTTTCCGATGGGGATCTTCCCAAGTCTAAAAAAAGGGGAGAGGGAAGCAGAAATATAGGTTAATACCCACTATAAAGTATTTTAATCTTTCCACATGATCATGAAGTTTTATAGATAGCGGCAGTCCAAGGGAAAATTCTCAGAAATTATTTAGGCTCAATGCCAAAATGCCAATACATCCTCAAGCACAATAATAATTAAAGCCTATTTATAGTATTTCCTCCCCTCTGTCTTTCATTTGTTTGTATAATCGCATCTGAATGGTATTTCCAAACACACTCCTCTTCCAAGTTTAGTCAGTGTCTAAATCCCTGTTCACGTTTAGAGCTTCAGTTCGGCTGCTCCCACCGTCGATGCCTTTGTTTCCACAGGCTGCCTACACTGCTGCTTCCTCTAACAGGTACACGCAGTGGGCCTGGCTTTCTGTGTTTGAAAACAAACTTCCTATTCTTTAAATGGCTTCTACTAAAAGAAACCAAGTTTTCCCTTCACAAAGTAAAGATCAAGATAGTGACACCAAAAAAGTAAAAATCTATTTTTTGTCTCATTTCATTCCGTTTTAAAAAACCCTCTACCTTTTCCATCACATCTCAAGACTTTGACAAAAACATGAAGATGTCAACTCTCTAGTTTACTGAAAATAGATTATACCCTGTTGGCTACAAAATATATACAAGGGCACTTTTATAAATGAGTATGTAGTATAATGGAAATTTGTTGTCCAGTTTTTTAAATATCCCCTAGGTACTATCCTTCCCAAAAAGCTTAATTACCTGATTCTAAACAGAACTATAGAACTTCCCTAAAATTATTTTCCTCAGATTTACATTAAAAGATACGCAGAGACTATGTTATCTCAAGATTGTTATCTAGAATTTCAGATTATCTAAGCTTGGTTCCTCTAATTTTATACAAATAATTAAATATGGACTCTTATTTATAGCTAAAACCTAGATAAACTCCAATATAGGGTGGGGCAAAAGTAGGTTTACAGTTTGTATGGAAAATAATACAATAATTAATACATAATACAAGAATAAACTTTCGTGTACTCACAACTGTACACCTACTTTTGCCCCACCCTGTTTTTCTTCTAGTCCTAATTATAGCATATTCAGAAATAAACTGTTCCACTTATACCAAAAAAACACAAAAAATCAGTAAACCAAATCTAACATTTCACTACCCCAAATACTAATATTACTAATAAAATATAAGAAAAATAAATGTAACTGTTAACCTTACATACTGGTTATAGGTGAGTGACACTTTACACGCTCTCTCTCTCTCTCTCTCTCTCTCTCTCTCTCTCTCTCTCTCTCTCTCATACACACACACACACACACATTATTAAGCCCATTTTACAGATAAGTAAACTGAAGCACACAGTTTAAACTTGCTCAAGCTGTTTCTGAATGGGGGCAAGGGGATTAGAACTCATGCTATTAACCATTATGTGATGATGCTCAAATTCTGATAACAATAGCAGTTGAATGGCAAAGTAATTTGCCAATTTCATGGTCTCTTCTTTTAAGTACCTTCCCTTACTCTCTGAATCTCCTAAGTCTATTTTCCTGTGGGGGTTGTCTTCTTTCCCACTGTTCTCTTACTGTTTCTTGTTTTCTGTTACCTGTCACCAGGCATCTATTCATGCAGTAAATATTTATTGAGTGCCTACTCTGGGCCAGGTGTTAGGAACAGAGATAAATAGGACATAGTCAATACTCTGAAGAATGTCATGTTAATAAATGGTATAGCATTTGTTACAAATGCTATAAAATTAATCTTAATGTGCTGGAGAAACCAAGGTGGGACTGAGGTATAACTAGAATCAGAAAACCTAGAAGCAGAATCCGAAAATATCTGAGAAGTTTCTACTTTGTAAAGCAGGTGGGAGCATATGATGTTACAACTTCTTTTGTGAACAATTTGGGAATGCCTAGGAAAGTAAAATAGGTGTGTAACTCACAATTTAGCAATTTGACTCACAGGTATAGACCTAGGAGTATATATCTATATATACTATGTATAAAGAAAAATTTTAGAACGGACCCCAAAAAAGCATAAAAAATTTAAAAACCACCCTATCAACAGGAAGATGTTAAAATCATACAAAAGATGACTATAAAGCTATACAAATAAATAATCAGAGTTCACAGATTATTGATCAAGCCTAAAACAAATGTTGCTCACTCTTACGCAGGTGTTTGAGAACATTATCTTACAATCTATAAATATTAACCAATATGTTTGCAATACTTAGGTCTCTTTAACACATCGTTGGCCTGCACAGAGCTGTACACATACGTGCTCCTTGAAAACCACTTCCTGATTAAGCAGGATCCCTGTCACCAAGTCAACAGAAGTCACATCTCCTCGGTTACTACCTGTACTTCACCAGCTTCCATTTGGAGCTAAAGCCTCTATCAGCTGTTTACCATTAGCAGCTAACATCAGTAGCAACAGTGTCATCATCACTGAGACAATATGACTGAGAACTCACTATGGAGCTAAACACTTGGCTTTGATCATCTCATTCAATATTCCCAATAACTTTGCAGGGTAAGTGGTATGATGACACAGGTGAGATGACCTGGAGAGACTTAGTCGCTGGTCCCACGTTATAAAGCTACTTAGTGGTACTGATATTTGGGGTCAAGGAATCAAATTTATAATAAAGTTCAAAATAATAAACACAACAACATTACACTGAGACTGAAGAAGTCTTGAATTTAGTGATTCTAGTCCTTTAACATTATCCAGATGTGTCTTCCAGATATTCACTCAGAAAGACTTGGGGAAGACAAAGCCAACTGCTGCCCAGGCCAAACTCAGACTCTGGGGCAGGCGTTATCGCCGGTGTGAGAGGAGTTATTGAGGTTAAGCAGTGTAGACCTCAATACTGAAGGATGAAATAAGGATGGCACCTGATGAATCACAAGCCAAATGGAGAGACAGCTACTTAAACTGTTCTGCTGCTTAAACGTTCTTGCAAGCATGGTTGGCTTGGTAACTGCTCTGAACAAATTCATGCTGTTACAAGACAAATCCTAAGAGAACAGCAAAGGCCCACACACATCTGTGAAACAAATGCAACTCACCAATGCATTCACTAATTTATTCATTCCACAAGTATTTATTGATTACCTACTCTGTACCAGGCACTAAGCTGAGCAGTTGGGAGACATCAGTGAACAACACACACACAATCCCTCATAAAGTCTGTGCTCTAGCTGGAAGAGTAACAATAAACACACATAACTAAATTATATAGCATGTTAGAAGCTGGTAGAAGTTATGGAAAAGGAAAGAAAATAAAGCATGGAAGGTGGAATGGAAGTATAGAAGGCAGGGTTAAACTGTGAAGGATGCCTGGCCGGGAGTGGCTCAGGGGTTGACCCAGGAGATCGAGGTTCGATTCCCAGTCAGGGTACATGCCCGGGTTGCGGGCTCGATCCCCAGCAGGGAGCATGCAGGAGGCAGCCAATCAATGACTCTCTCCTCACTGATGTTTCTATCTCTCTCTCTCCCTCCCCCTTCCTCTCTGAAATCAACAGATATATTAAAAAAAAAAAAAGATTGTGAAGGATGTCACCCTGGCCAGCATGGCTCAGTGATTAGAGCATCAGCCTGAGCCATAAAGGGTCTTGGGTTCGATTCCTAGTCAAGCGCATGTACCTGGGTTGTAGGTTCGATCCCAAGCCCTGGTCGGGGTACATGCAGGAGGCAACCAATTGATGTGTCCCTCTCAGGTCAATGTTTCTCTCTCCTCGTTCCTCCCCCCTTCCTTCCACTCTCTCTAAAAATCAACGGAAAAAATATCCTCGGGTTAGGATTAACAAAACAAAACAAAAAAAACAAAAACGAAATTGTAAAGGATGTCCAGGGTAGACATCGTGAAGAAGGTGACTTCGGAGCAAACATGTGAGGAGGAGACCATGTGCACACCTGGGAAGGAGTGAATGTGCAGACGTGAGGCAAGAATGTGCCTGGAGTGCCAGAGGGCTGTGAGATGGCCCCTGTGGCGGCGAGGAAGCAGGAGGCGGCGGGGAAGCTGGAGAGGAGATGGAAAATGTAAATGGCACCAGGGGCTGGCTTCCACTTTAACAGGCTCATTCTGTCTTAATATTGACAACGAAGTGAATTATCCTTCCCCATAAACAATTGGCCTAACTTCTACTTTTTATAAACATTAATCAATTTAATATGTGTGTTTTTTGGGTAAACAACTTCTATGCAATCTGTAGTGTATTCATTTGCTGGAAACCAACACACATACATTCACACACAGACACACAGACAGACACTACAAGATCGGTTTGGGTTTAAATAGGTAAGTAAAGGTCTCTGGTTAAAAATGTCAGAGTCTGTTTTTGTTTTGTTTGTTCACTTCTTTCCTTCTTGTATTATATTCCACATGAGTGAAATCATACAGTTTTTTTCCTTTTCTGTCTGAGGTCAGACACAAAGAGTTTCATTTAGCAGAGGACCCCTCATGTTGCAAATGGCGATACTTCATTTTTTTATGACTAAGTATTTTTCAATTTTTTATCCATCTACCCATCAATGAACACTTAGGCTGCTTCATATCTTGCAGGTAATGTTGCAGTGAACACAGAGGTGCATTATATTTTTAATTAGTATTTTCACATTCTTGGGATAACTACCCAGAAGAGGAATGACCGGATCATAGGGGAGCTGTAGTCTTAATTTTTTTGAGGAACCTCCATAGTCTTTTCCATAGTGGCTGCCCCAATAGTGTACAAGGGTTCCCTTTTTTCCACACCTCTCCAACATTTATTATTTCTTGTCATTTTGATATTAGCCATTCTAACAGGTGTGAGGTGATATCTCCTTGTAGTTACCAGATGGGAAAAAGGGTGAAAGGAGGGAAAAGTGGGTAAAGGGGGTCAAATGTATGGTAATGGATAGAAACTAGGCTTTTGGCAGTGAGCACACTATAGTGCATACAGATATCGAATTATAACAAACTGGGCTTACTTCCCTCCGAGGCCTTTACACTTGCTTTTTCTTGCTGAATTTCCCTAGATGTCCATACTACTTGTTCCCTCACTTCCTTTAGGTCTTCCATCAAATAACACCTTCTCATGGAGGCCTTCTCCCTACCTAAAACGCTACAATCCCAACACACCTGAGCCCCATTTCCTACTTTATTTTTCTCCAACACACCACCATCTGATGTATTATATATTTTATTATTAGTTTTTTGTCTGTATCTGCTCAAGATAAAAATCTCAGATCATTTTTGTCACTTTTATCACTACTTTACCTCCAGCACTTAGAACACTGCCTGGCAAACATCAGACACTCAAACACTATGTACTGAATGAATGAGCAGAAATGACATGTACAGAAATGACAAGGGAAATGAGAAACACTGGAGAAGTCTGAGCAGTGGAAGGACAAACGCTGCAAAGTGAGGCCGAAGCAGCAGAGGCCAGAGTATGCAAGGTTGCGGGCCCATGTTAAGAATGTTCTAGTCTATCCTTTTAGCAACAGGAAACCATTAAAAGGTTCTCATATAAGCAAGACATTAGCAAATTTATGTTTTTAAAATGTTATTTTGGACGCTGCGTGGAGTGTGAAATTTTGGTAGACAACAGTGACTATAGGGGTGCACTAAGAGACTGCTGCAGTCCAATTCTGTTGTAATTAAATAGGAACTACTATACCTAACAGACTAATAGAATAGCAAATAAGAGCATCTTGAAACTTCAAACACATCCAAAGAAGTACAAAAATTCATCAAGACTTTAAATAGATAAAACTACAAAAGCTTAGAATTAGTAGAGGAGTTTGTAGCACCCAGTATGCTCCACTGTAACCACTGGTTTAGCTGTCAATCACCCCCATGAGACTATAAATACCTTTAGAGAAAAGACCATATAATAATAAAAGTACCAGTAGTAATAATAATGTGATGACTACCCATTATGCACTATTCTAAGATGAATCTGCAATAACTCACTTAACCTTGACACAACCACATGCAATAGGTATACTTCATTGTCTCTATTTTAGAGGTGATGAAAGTGAGGCAAAGAAAGACAAAGTAACGTGCCCAAGGTGACATCACTAGTAAGTGGCAATCGGACTCCAAGACCCATATTCTTAGTCACTTGTTATGCAGACAGTATCCCCTAAGCTTAACAATTTTTTTTTTTTTTACCCTTTCACCAGGTCAAACAGAATGTCTACTTAGGCACCTGGAGTGCAAAAAACCTGCCTGCATGGTTTCAACAGACATTCTCATTCTTAGCAGGTCATTTTAAAAGTGCCTACTTAACAAAGAACCTATCCATGTGGGTGGTCTAACGGCATTGAAGGCAGCCTGACTCTTTAGAAAACAATTTTCTTTTCCTGGAATGTTTATTCTGCACGGGCAGCTGTGTTTCTGAGTTGGATAAAAGCAAGATCCCTTTCTTCAGCTACTTCCCCCAAAGCATCGTGGAACTTAATGCAAAATTTACAATTAATAAATAAAATAAAAATACAAAAATTAATATCCAGATAGACAAATGGCCTAATGGCTTTTATAAACATAAAGGTGGCTGCTTCACTATGTCCCACCACTTAGCCTTTTGACTCTGCATATTCTGAATTTTACTCACTAAATCATCTGGAAATAGTTACCACTTCCCAGAAGTGGGAAACAGATGAAGAAAACAAAAAGGGTAAGAAAGAAGGAAAAGCGAACAGTGTCATTCTCTAATAGCCCTTGCATCCACTGCTTTCCACTGAACAAGTATAAATTCACAATAATGAATAATTAAGTCGTCTAACTCAATCCATGATGCATTCTGAAAAAAGTTAATAATTTTAAAATTCATATGTTGAAGTTTAAAAAAATAAAATTCATGCTGCCATGTATGAATATAAAAAAGCATTACCTGTCATATTCAAAAAACTGACTGCAAAGCAGAAAAAACACTTTTCACTGACTCTTAAAAGCCAAGCCCACTAAAAGAAATGTGTTCAAAATGCCAAATGTGAGTGTTCTGTATGCCCAACTCGAAGAACTAGAGTACAGACATAAAGTTTGAAAAAAATTTATTGATACAATAAAACTCCACATTAAAAATTTTAAATTTACGAATCTCTCAAACTGACATGTCCTCAGAACCAATTTAAATTCAAGCAGTTCACAGGATTTACACGGCAATTTTTTTGGAAGACAGAAAAGTTTTACCATTATAACAAAAATGTTACCTGAGGGAGGGCACCATAATTCCATATATAACCCTTGTGAGGAAAGATATTTGCCACGTAGCGTGGCTTGCCATCCTTTATGTCTTGTTTAATGGGATTCAATGGCTCCGTTGTGGCGATCTAAGCAGACCATAGACAAAAGGAGGTAGAAAGATGAGAAATGATTAATCCTATCTTTAAATAGTATTTTTAAGATCTGCTATTATCAGACTAAATAGTCATATTCCAACTTCCTGATCAAAGATACTTTAAAATAAATTAAGCCAGCTCTTATTTCTAATTTAAAGTACTGTGTAAGAAAAACCATCTGGAAAGGAAATATCAGATTATATATTTAGGCATTCTATTATTGATGTACTCATTATTTCTAACACAAATAATAAAATGACTGAAATGGCAAGAAGATAAAAATTAATCAACTTGCTTTTTGTTACTAATCTTGGGCTTTTTACCATCAATCTTATAATAAACTTAACTCAAAGATTTTTCACCAAGTGATCTCATTTCCAAGTTACCTTTCTACCAAACATATCTAAATTGCCATGCAAAAAAAAAAAAAAATCCCTATCCTATAAAGTAAATAATACGTGAAGTCATGTTTGAATAAATGAACACTGTTTAAATTAGGTTGAATCTCACAGATTCTTAATCCTATATCTAAGATAGAGAGTAGCCAGAACGATGAAACAATATAGCTGAAGCAAGACCAACTTTTTCCTATTAAAATATTAACAAAAAAATACTACCAGGACCTGGTGAAGTTACTGACAATTCTCCAAATAGAAATTCTGAAAATTATACATGTGCATAACAGTCCTTAATTTAAATACTTGCCATGAAAATAATACTTGCCATCAAATCCAAAGTTGTAGAAGAAGGCATAAATAATGAAATAAACTAAGTGCCATAAATTAAATTTCACTTAGAACTACAAGGGATGTTATCTAACTGAGGATGAAACAATAAAATTCTGAAAAGCAAGAGGGAAGTCATGATAGGTTAATGTCTCATGGAAAATATTTTTTTAAAAAGCACCTAAAGGGAGATCCAAGATGGCAGCGAATTGAGTGGAAGCTACAGTGACACTTCCCCGGGCAAAAACTGGAATTACAACTAAAATATAGAAAAACCATCCTGAATAACCAACTGCAACTGAAGACAAGCTGGAGAGCATCCTCATAACCAAGGAGGAAAAGTGGAGACCACATAGAGACTGGTAGGAAGTGCGGACGCAAGAGGGCTGGCTGGGCTCCCACAGGCACCAGCTGAAGGTCCAGAGGGAGATCTCAGCTGTGGGGGTTCCCACTGAGGATTCTGGGGCCTAAATCCCAGACTAGGCTTCCCAACCAAGAGCATCAGAACTGAGAAAGGTGCCCACATAACATCTGGCTGTGAAAAACATCCAGGTTTCTGTCTTCCAGGGAGAGACGGCTGGAAATGCAGGCACCCTCTTAAAGAGCCAACGCATAAAGTTTCATGTGCAGCCACTCACCTAGGGCTCAGGTAGAGGGAAGGCAGAGTGGACTGGGGCTGTGTGAGGAGAGTCCAGGAGGGCTGGTTGGGAGAATAGATCTCAGAGGGTACCCATTTAGACCCCGGTGCTGAGTCATTCCCCCATACTGCAGAGGACATCTTTTTCAGGCAGACATTTACCTTCCAAGCAGCTTTTGCCCCACCCTTCTGGAAAACCTCTGGCCCCACCCCTTGGAGCTTCTACAGCCTGAGGCTCATTAAGAGACTGAATAACAGCCTCTAGGTGCTTTGAGTCTTTGCCTGAGTTGATTCTGGAACAAGGGCTTAGAAAAGCAGACACTGGTGCACATCTTGGTCCTGTCCATACACACCCAACCCCAGCAGAGGAAACCAGAAGCTGTGGAGTGTGGAAAATTTCAAACAGGGTACTCAAGGCCAGTCACAAACACTGTCTGACATTGGCCTGCACCAGAGACCATCGAAAAGACTGGGAGTCATAGCAGATGTACCTAATACATAGAAATAAACCCAAATAGGCAGCCAAAATGGGGAGACAAAAAAAATAAGCCCTAAATGAAAGAACAAAAGAATTCTCCAGAAGAAGAGCTAAATGAAAGGAAGATAAGCAATCTATCAGATATAGAATTCAGAATACTGATCATAAAGATGCTCATCAGCATGAAAAAAGATATAGAAACTATGAAGGAAATTAAGAATGACATAGTAGAAATAAAAAAAATTAGAAGGAATGAACAGCAGATTAGGGGAAGCTAAGGATCAGATCAGCAAATTAGAAGACAGTAGAAAAAAATCACTCAATCAGAGAACCAAAAAGAAAAAACAATTAAAAAACAGGAGGACAGTTTAAGGGAGCTGTGGGACAACATGAAACATAGTAATATTCGCATCATAGAAGTGCCAGAAGAGATCGAAAGTAAGCATGGGTTAGAGAACCTGTTTGCAGAAATAGTGGCAGAAAGCTTCCCTGGCCTGGTCAAGGAAAAAGTCACACAAGTTCTGGAGACACAGAGAGCCCCAAGCAAGAAGAATCCAAAGAGGCCCATGCCCAGACATACTATAATTAAAATGCCAAAAATCCAAGACAAAGAGAATCTTAAAGACAGCAAGAGAAAAGCAATCTGTTACCTACAAAGGAGCTCCCATAAGGCTGTCAGCCAATTTCTCATCAGAAACTCTACAGGCCAGAAGAGAATGGCATGAAGTACTCATGGTAATGCAAAACAAGGATCTGAAAGCAAGACTACTCTATCCAGCAAGGCTATCACTCAAAATAGATGTCAAATTAAAGAGCCTTCCAGACCAAGAAAGGCTAAAGGAATTTATCACCACCAAACCTGCACTGCAAGAAATGTTAAAGGGGCTGCTGTAATAAGTTGAAAATAGAAAGAATGAGAAACATAGGCATGAAGAAATAAAATGGTGCCTGTCGAGGTGTGGCTCAGAGGCTGAGCACTGACCTAGGATCCAGGAGATCAAGGTTCAATTCCCAGTCAGGGCATATGTCCAGGCTGCAGACTCGATCCCCAGTCGGGGGCATGCAGGAGGGAGCTGATCAATGACGACTCTCTCATCACTGATGTTTCAACTCTCTCTCTCCCGCTCCCTTCCTCTCTCTGAAATCAATAAAGACATATTTTTAGAGGAAGGA